CCCGCAGGTGAAGAAGCCGGATGTGGCGGTCCTGGGCTGGCGTGGTTACACGTGGTCTGCGGTTGTGAGGCCGGTTGGACGTACTGCCAAATTCTCTAAAATGACGTTGGAGGCGTGCAATTCTCTGGCAACAGCTCTGGTGGACATTCCTGCAGTCAGCATGCCAATTGCACACTCCCTCAAAACTTGAGACATCTGTAGCATTGTGTTGTGTGACAAAACTGCACATTTTAGAGTGGCCTTTTATTGTCCCCAGCACAAGGTGCACCTGTGTAATGATCATGCTGTTTAATCAGCTTCTTGATATGCCACACCTGTCAGGTGGATGGATTATCTTGGCAAATGAGAAATGCTCACTAACAGGGATGTAAAAATTTGTGCACAACTCACTTTTTGTGTGTATGGAACATTTCTGGGATCTTTTATTTCAGCTCATGAAACATGGGACCAACACTTACATGTTGAGATTATATTTTTGTTCAGTGTACATTTTACAGTTTATTCTGAATATGCCTTTGCCTCAAATTATTTCACCAGCAATACATCACACTTTGACTGCATCAACATGCCAGTCAAAGTGCTAAAATGAACAAGGACAATCCAATGTTTTGCTCATTGTCCTTGCCCTCAAGCATACATCCGGTCCCCCAAACCAGAACTTAGATGAAAGTACACCGCTCTTCCCTCCCCAGGGATGAGTCTGTGGTCTCTAGGTGTCAAGGCCACCCACCAGGAGTCCCATTTCCTCATCTAGAAACTCCCTCCAGCACAACACATATGGCTATTGTAGTTGCATATTTACAAGAGCGCGTCATTCTAAAATCAACAAGCACAGTCCAATATTGCTGGGAAATAATGAACATGTAAAAAGTCAACTAGTGTGTTCTCATAGGATGAACTTTGGCACCATTTTTGGCCTTGTTAAATGTCTTAATAATAATGCTTTTATAATCAGTTTCTAACATAGTTCCATCCAACAAGTGGATCAAACCTGGGGCTGACATAAAGACATGCTGTGGTAGGTTGACTATGAGAGACAGAGGGGGCCCTAGAACACTTCCCTTGGGGGAAGAGACAAGGTAACAATAGGCATGGGGGTCAATGGGTTACCACTTGAACACATCCTCTATATGCACACAAACACTTACACACACACACATACACAGACACGCACGCACGCACACACACACACACACACACACACACACACACACACACACACACACACACACAGACAGACACACATGCACATGCACTGTGTGTAATCACTTTGGACAGGGGTGAAGAATGGAGTCAAGCGAGGTGGGAGAGAGAGAGAGACCGCCAGAAACAAACCCAGGAGGATGATGGATGAGCATTGTGTGTGTGTGTGTGTGTGTGTGTGTGTGTTTGGTGTGTGTGTGTAGACCACCAAACACGGCCAAACAAACAACGTCACCCCCCCCCCGCTCACAATGAGCGGGTGTCACACACATCTCAGGGAGAATTAGCCAGTGCTTCCGCTCCCAGTGAGTGGAGACAAAGCTAGCCTGTCCTCTCCCAGTGAGTGGAGACAAAGCTAGCCTGTCCTCTCCCAGTGAGTGGAGACAAAGCTAGCCTGTCCTCTCCCAGTGAGTGGAGACAAAGCTAGCCTGTCCTCTCCCAGTGAGTGGAGACAAAGCTAGCCTGTCCGCTCCCAGTGAGTGGAGACAAAGCTAGCCTGTCCTCTCCCAGTGAGTGGAGACAAAGCTAGCCTGTCCGCTCCCAGTGAGTGGAGACAAAGCTAGCCTGTCCTCTCCCAGTGAGTGGAGACAAAGCTAGCCTGTCCTCTCCCAGTGAGTGGAGACAAAGCTAGCCTGTCCTCTCCCAGTGAGTGGAGACAAAGCTAGCCTGTCCTCTCCCAGTGAGTGGAGACAAAGCTAGCTTACAGTGTGCAGAAATAGGAGGATCTTTCAAAGACTTCTCTTTCCCTTTGAACTGATCCTTTACTTCATGTATCAATCAGTAGACAGAGTATTCCCCCCTTTGCTTGGCAGGGAAATAGAGGGTTTGGCATAACAACATTTGAGTAATGAACTTCTGCAGTAGACTACACAGGGTCTATGTGTGTCAGACAGTCACAGGACCCAAAACCCCAAGCCAACCATGAGATATGACCGTCTGAGCTTCAGTCTGATTGGCTAGCGGAGGGGGGCCGGGGGAAATGATGTTGTGTTGCAGCCAGGACCTCGGCTGGATGTGTGTGCGTGTGTGTGCGTGTGTGTGCGTGGGCGCGTGTGTCTATGTTCCTCGGTCACCTTCAAAGGCAGCCCTCTGAAATCACAACATGTGATGAGCCTGGAGTACAGAGACAACAGGGCAGAAAATAACAGCAGCGTGGGAACCTTGTAATACAACAGGGAGAGAATGAAATCCCCCACTCCACCCACCATCCGACTCGCAGCCCGCCAAGCCTGCCTGCCGCCCCACTAACAATCAGCAGGCAGCAGAATATGGGAGTTTGTGGGAGTGCTTCTGCCTGTGTCATGTTTGAAGCCGAGGCTAGCTGATGGCAGGCAGCAATAACAACAACATGAAAACCGCCCTAAGAGCTTCCTCTCATTCATGTTTCTAAACAAGGCAGCTCCTCTCCTCTCCTAGCCTGATGACTATGATGCATGCTGCTGCCTGGGGTTAGAACAGGTGCCTGGGGTTAGAACAGGTGCATGGGGTTAGAACAGATGCCTGGGGTTAGAACAGGTGACTGGGGTTAGAACAGATGCCTGGGGTTAGAACAGGTGCATGGGGTTAGAACAGATGCCTGGGGTTAGAACAGGTGCATGGGGTTAGAACAGATGCCTGGGGTTAGAACAGGTGACTGGGGTTAGAACAGATGCCTGGGGTTAGAACAGGTGACTGGGGTTAGAACAGATGCCTGGGGTTAGAACAGATGCCTGAGGTTAGAACAGATGCCTGGGGTTAGAACAGGTGACTGGGGTTAGAACAGATGACGGGGGTTAGAACAGATGCCTGGGGTTAGTACAGGTGCCTGGGGTTAGAACAGATGCCTGAGGTTAGAACAGATGCCTGGGGTTAGAACAGATGCCTGGGGTTAGAACAGATGCCTGAGGTTAGTACAGGTGCCTGGGGTTAGAACAGATGCCTGGGGTTAGAACAGATGCCTGGGGTTAGAACAGATGCCTGGGGTTAGAACAGATGCCTGGGGTTAGTACAGATGCCTGGGGTTAGAACAGATGCCTGGGGTTAGAACAGATGCCTGGGGTTAGAACAGATGCCTGGGGTTAGAACAGATGCCTGGGGTTAGAAAGCTGGTAGACAGATGCCTGGGGTTAGAACAGATGCCTGGGGTTAGAACAGATGCCTGGGGTTAGAACAGATGCCTGGGGTTAGAACAGATGCCTGGGGTTAGACAGATGCCTGGGGTTAGAACAGATGCCTGGGGTTAGAACAGATGCCTGGGGTTAGAACAGATGCCTGGGGTTAGAACAGATGCCTGGGTTAGAACAATGCCTGGGGTGGTTAGAACAGATGCCTGGGGTTAGAACAGATGCCTGGGGTTAGAACAGATGCCTGGGGTTAGAACAGGTGACTGGGGTTAGAACAGATGCCTGGGGCTTAGAACAGGTGCCTGGGGTTAGAACAGGTGACTGGGGTTAGAACAGGTGCCTGGGGTTAGAACAGTGACTCACAGAGATAAGAGTAGGAGTGCTGATCTAGGATCAGTTTGACCTTTCAGATCATAATGACTAAGATTATATGGACAGGGGTCAGGGGTCACACACTGCTCTATGATCCTCTCACATTTCCTCCTCTTCTCATAATCTTTGTGTGGTCAGGTCACAGTGGCAGGAGGTGGAGAAATGTGGCAGGATGTCACTCTGAGGAACAGCCAGGACCAGCAGAACATATTACCATCCCTCCATTGTCCCTCTTATTGCAGTGTAATAGAAAGCCTTCAAACATGTAAATAAAACCCTACGTTTTTCAGACACATTTTTTAAGTCATATGTCAACTGATTTCTATGTCTAATAGCTGAATGAATCAACAAGTAGCTGCATGTACGCATAATATTTTCCAAATATATGTCTGCAAGTGAGAGATTCCAGACCTGCCTGTCTTCATCTACACCAGGTCAATAAACTGAGCTTCCTTCTCTTCAATAAGATCCTCACAGGGGACTCTCACCAGTGGCACGGGAATAGCGTGTGTGTGAGAGAGTGTGTATGAGTGTGTGTGTGTGTGTGTGACATGAAAACACTTCAACAGCAAGAGCTATATCTGATTGTCACATGTGGAGAGGGGATATACAAATGCACAACAATGTCTGTCAAATGATTTGGGAGTGTGGCCATTATTGGGATCCACAGGGGATGTGGTGTGGTGGTGACACACTGGAGAAGCTGGCCTCCTTTAACTGCATTATGCCTTTTGTTGTGGCACAGTCCTCATCCTCTCCAGTCCCGAAAGCGTCTTTACCATGCATTATGTCGCTCCCTCCGCTCCATGGTGGGTAGGATTAGACTTCGTAGTTTACTCTTGTACACTGGCTCTCCTTTGGATGAGTTAGTATTGGATTACAGGTTCACACGCTCGCCACTAGACCGCCCGTCGCCCGAACCAATTGCCCCGTTCATTCCGAACGCCGGAGACGGCCGTCGCCCCTGATTGGTTATCAGCGTTGGCTAAGAAACTTTCCCACGGCCAGCGTGTGCTGACAGCCGGCCAGCCACTCCTCACAACCGGGACAGACAGCCACAGTGCTTGCGGACGGACGGGGGGGGGAACACACACACTGGGGCAGAGTGTGACAGTCACGAACCGAAAGTCTATTGGACCCCTGTCAAACTTATTCATATGAGCGAGGTGTGTCTAGGCCATAGAGTTCGCTTGCATCTGTGCTGTCACTCAAACCCATGGCTGTCTAATAATTGGCTAGTTATGGTACCATGCCCCGCCCCTCCTGGGTGTCAGCGGTGTAGAGATGATACCGTGGGAAAGCTTGGTCCTTCAAACGGATGAACTCGAGGTGTACCTGACAGACGCACAGAGAGTCGGATAATTGAAAGACTTGGACTATATATACACTGTGCTGTACTCTGAACGAGGGAAAAACAGCAGCGGATAAAAATGAAAAGGAATCACGATTTTAGCTCCTCGGACAGCGAACTGGACGAGAACATTGAGGTTGAGAAGGAGAGTGCCGATGAAAATGGGTAAGTTTGTGTCCAATATTTGGGCAATTTGCGTTTTTACTGCGTTATTGTGGTATGTTCCGAACCTAGCTACATGTTCCAAGGAACTTACCCCTTTGCTTTGGTATTGTTTATAAGAAAAGACTGTGCGCAAAGCAGAAACTGAATTGCGCAATTTAGTCATTTTCGTGGCATTATCTAATTGGTTCCTAACCAGGGGTACTAAGCCTATCCACAGGGGGTACTTGAGAAGACTCATGAGGTCATAGGCTGACTGGTAAAATGTACATGGGGGGGGGGGGGGGTTACTTCAGGGGTACTCCAGGCAGAGCAAAATTCATTTGGTGGTACAGTAACCGAAAAAGGTTGGGAACCACTGAAAAAGAATGTACATTAATAAAATAATTGTAAGTGTTTTTCTTTCAGGAACATGAGATCCCCCCTTGGGCCGACGTCTCCATCAACAAAAACTCAAGTGAATGCGAGGAAGCGCCGTCGTGGAGTGAGTAACCTACAGTTCCCCAATATCGTATTGGAATTGTCGTGCATAAATGTGTGTAATACGCACGTTTTTACAGCAACTCAATTCTCTCTTTCTGCAATGACTAAATGTTCCAATCTCTCTCTCAGATCATTGAAAAACGTCGCCGTGACAGAATCAACAACAGCCTCACCGAGCTGCGTAGACTGGTCCCCAGCGCGTTTGAGAAGCAGGTAAGATACGATCCGTGCGTCTTGCATAAAACCAACGCCCCATCAAAATGTTTGACAGGATACCATATCGTGCTTTGAACTCGTAGAGAAAAATAAAATGTATAAAGTTTCCACAAGTTTTCAGAAAATAACTAAGAATAATTTCCAGTTTATATATTCAATGATTTAATGATATTCAATGCCGTTTTATTTGTTTAATGAATGTGCCTTCTGCTCCGCAATCCTGCAGGGTTCAGCTAAACTGGAGAAAGCAGAGATTCTGCAGATGACAGTGGATCATCTGAAGATGCTTCATGCTGCTGGAGGAAAAGGTACATTTTTATTTTTTAAATACTAGAATAAATAACCATAATAAATTCATTATTACTGTAACATATTTTTGAAGTACCATAATATTGATTGACTATAAGGTTAGTGATTTGGATAATATCTTTCACTTCACTGTGTTGTTCTGGAAACTCAAGCTACTGTATGTGCATCTCATTAAATCTTTTAATAAACGGTTTAGATGTTGAATAACAATAGTCAAAACAGGTCAGACAGGCTTACTTGAACTCTCTCCCTGGCTTGACACACCCAGGGGCCAATTTATTGTCATTAGTAGACTTCCTTAGACATCCGCTATTCCGGCTCTACTTGTTTGGTGTAATTGGCTGAAAACACTTCATTAACCGTTCTTGTTCCCTCTCCCTTCTAGGTTACCTTGACGCCCAGGCTCTGGCCATGGACTACCGAGGTCTGGGTTTCAGGGAGTGTCTGGCTGAGACAGGCCCGTTACCTGAGCATCATCGAGGGGCTGGACAGCGCTGACCCCTTGAGGATCCGCCTGGTCTCCCACCTGAATAGCTACGCCTCCCAGAGAGAGGCCCACTCCGTCTCCATCTCTGGGCTGGGGCACCTGGCCTGGGGCTCGGCCTTCGGGTCGCCCCCCTCTGCCCACCTGGCCCACCTCCTCCTCCGGCAGCAGCACCATCAACACCAGCAGGGGGCGACATTACCGTTACCACGCAGCACCTCCAACAGCCCTCCGTCATCCTCCTCTTCTACTCCTTCATCCTCCTCTTCCTCCTCCTCTCCGATCGAGAGAGAACGTCGTTCCTCGCCCCATGGCCATGCTCCCAGCAGGCTTAGCGGTGCCACCCCCCTCTCCGAGCACAGCCAAGCCCAGGGGGGCCCTCTCCGCGTCCCCACCAGCGCTGCCCCCCTCCCCCCGGGGCTGAACCTGACCGTGACCTCCTCCAAGCTCTCCCCTCCCCTCTCTCTGTCCTCCCTCTCCACCCTGTCGTCGTTCCCCTTCCCCTTCAGTGCCTTCCCCCTGCTGTCCCCCAGCCCCCTCAGCCCCCCCGCCTACCCCTCCAGCCAGGCCAGCCTGGGGAAGCAGCCCTACCGGCCCTGGGGCTTGGAGATTGGGGCTTTCTGAACTATCTTTTACCCCCATCCACACTGACTAAACTGACCATAGAGATGAATAGAGGGCGCACCATCACTATGAACTGAACTGAACTCACCAGCTGAGCTGAACCTTTCCATGCCCAAGACAAGATGGTGTTTTTCTAGACCTATTAATGCCCAAGACAAGATGGTGTTTTTCTATCTCACATCCTATAGAGGAGAGCTATAGGATTACAATCTTTTTTATTTTCTTAGAAATTGTGTTTAAAATCAAATCAAAGTTTGTTGGTCACGTACACATATTTTGGCGACGTTATCGCGGGTGGAGCGAAATGCTTGTGTTTCTAGCTCCAACAGCGCAGTAATACCTGACAATACAAAACATAAACAATACATATGTAATCCAGAAAAATAAAGAAATGACGAAATATCAGAATGAGCAATGTCAGAGGCCGGAATATAAATATATATGTATATAATGGTGTGTCTGGACAGTATGTGAATAGAAAAGGTGTGTACTGCAGTGGTTATATAGGATGAGCCTTTACTAGAATACAGTGTATACATATAAAGTGGGTGAAACCGTATGTAAACATTATTAAAGTGACCAGTGTTCAATGACTATGTACATAGAGCAGCAGTCTCTAAGGTGCAGGGTGGAGTACCGGGTGGTAGCCGGGTAGAGTACCGGGTGGTAGCCGGCTAGTTACAGTGACTAAGGCCAGTGTTGACTGTTTAACAGTCTGATGTACAGCTACCACTTTTTAGCTTCCATCTGCTGACAAGCTGAAATGTAAGGGCTTATACCTCCTGTAGACGTCACACCAAAGGACATTACGTCTATGTTGTCCTCACCCTTGACTCGTGACTGTAAATACATTACTTCCCAGAGATTTCACTGCGATAGGAACTCACACCGAGGACCCACATCAAAACAATGGAAGACAAGAGGGTTCCGGATAAATTAATATTTAGACCTTTTAACTCATTCAGATTGTTCACGTATGTTCCCAACATTAACAGTCAAACAGCTGGTTTCAGTTAAGAGTTACATAATAAGTGAAAAAGTGATTGTTTTTAAAATGTTTAGTTATCTGTATGTTATCTGTTAGAGGGCTGTGCTTCTGTGTTCAGCCTATAAGAGGAAGATTTCACAGAGGGTCAGGAAGTCAATCAGTTGCACATCAACTTATCAGCAAAACTGTCCTTTGTTTTCCCGTTGAGCCCGGCACTGTACTGGTGTCTCCCCTAACCACTGACAGAAAGAGACAGAGGTGGAGATCGTGCCTTTTTATGGCATTTTATGGACTGGAATAACTGAAACCAGGTTTTTGTTTGACTGTTAATGTTGGAAACATACATGAACAATCTGAGTTAAAAAGTCAAAATATTAATTTGTCCGGAACCCTCTTGTCTTCCATTGTTTTGATGTGCATCCAGTTCCTATCGCAGTGAAATCTCTGGGAAGTAATGTATTTACAGTCACCAGTCAAGGGTGAGGACAACATAGACGTAATGTCCTTTGGTGTAACGTCTACAGATGTCACAAGCCCCTGTAATTCAGATTGTCAGCAGATGGCAGCTAAAAACATTAAACAACATACTGTCACGTCCAGCTGTCCAGGCAGCTATTGAGACAATATGGAACCAATTGGAATAGATGTTTTTGTGTTTTTTTTACTCTGCTTTTTTGAAGAACTATTAGTGGGTCTGATAATTGCAACGTACATTCTTTACACTTTTTACATTCTATGATATCATATGATCCATAAAAAGTGTTGGAGGCTCGACACTCTTCTCCATTAAAATATATTTTATTGTGAATTAATTAATAAAATCAAATGATATCATCTTCAACATAGACGTCTATAGGAACAATCCCTCAAACACATCTTTGCTCAGAGATACAGTATATAGACTATATATTAAGGTCACATTTTGAGATTACATTAAAATGACACGGTGCAAGTGATCAATGCCGTTCGAGTTTCTGCACAGATGATTACAGCAATAGAGAAGATCTCCACAGACCTGCGATGACCTGTGCATGCTATCATGAACATGCACACTTTATATGATTACAAATGTATAGTTACAGTAACGTCAACATGTGACCATGGATGTGTTACTCATTTTAAGGTTGAACGTTATATTACCTTTAATGTAACTTAACTTTAGGCTATTTACTTTATTACAAAAGTAATATTTAATTATCTTTGGTTGACAGCCAAAGATCATTTATCTTCTGCTTGGATAGTTCCATCTGTGCCACTGATTTAGTCAGGCTTTAATTCAATTTTGTCTACAATTTAATAATTAATATGCTGAATTCACACCTCCATCTCAACCAAAAATCAAAGTTAAGGAATAGGACTAAATCAAATCCAACTTTATTTAAAGAGCACTTAAAGTTTGATTTGATTTAGTCCTGATCTTTTAGTTAGATTTTTGGTTAAAATGGAGACGTTAATACAACATATATCATTATTAATTTGTGGACAAACTGGAATTAAAGCCAGACTAAGTCAGTGGCACAGATGGAACTATCCAAGCAGAAGATACATTTCTTTCAAATGTTGATATTTGGTTGCGTTGACAACCAAACACAATTCAATATCACTTTTAAAATACAAGAAATAGCCTAATAACTTGGCGACAAGTTAACAAATTATATGTTGGATTCACGTCTCCAACTCAACCAAAAATAAAAGTTAAAGAATGGGATTAAGTCAGTGGCTCAGATGGAACTATCCAAGCAGTAGATACATCTCCTTTAAATGTTCATATTTGGCTCTGTTATTAAATGAATCACAGTGATAACAGATTAATAAGTTGTATAAATAAACAAAATATCTGACATTGTATTCCCATTTGAACTTTGCTGTGCTTTTTAATGGTTGAAAGTTCAGTGATAGACATTTGGGTGACAACTAAACCAAAAATCCGACATTGTTTTTCCATTGGAATTTGGTTGTGCTTTTACAGTGGGGAGAACAAGTATTTGATACAGTGCCGATTTTGCAGGTTTGCCTACTTACAGAGCATGTAGAGGTCTGTAATTTTTATCATAGGTACACTTCAACTGTGAGAGACGGAATCTAAAACAAAAATCCAGAAAATCACATTGTATGATTTTTAAGTAATTAATTTGTATTTTATTGCATGACATAAGTATTTGAACACCTACCAACCAGTAAGAATTCCGGCTCTCACAGACCTGTTAGTTTTTCTTTAAGAAGCCCTCCTGTTCTCCACTCATTACCTGTATTAACTGCACCTGTTTGAACTCGTTACCTGTATAAAAGACACCTGTCCACACACTCAATCAAACAGACTCCAACCTCTCCACAATGGCCAAGACCAGAGAGCTGTGTAAGGACATCATGGATAAAATTGTAGACCTGCCCAAGGCTGGGATGGGCAACAGGACAATAGGCAAGCAGCTTGGTGAGAAGGCAACAACTGTTGGTGCAATTATTAGAAAATGGAAGAAGTTCAAGATGACGGTCAATCACCCTTGGTCTGGGGCTCCATGCAAGATCTCACCTCGTGGGGCATCAATGATCATGAGGAAGGTGAGGGATCAGCCCAGAACTACACGGCAGGACCTGGTCAATGACCTGAAGAGAGCTGGGACCACAGTCTCAAAGAAAACCATTAGTAACACACTACGCCGTCATGGATTAAAATCCTGCAGCTCACGCAAGGTCCCCCTGCTCAAGCCAGCGCATGTCCAGGCCCGTCTGAAGTTTGCCAATGACCATCTGGATGATCCAGAGGAGGAATGGGAGAAGGTCATGTGGTCTGATGAGACAAAAATATAGCTTTTTGGTCTAAACTCCACTCGCCGTGTTTGGAGGAAGAAGAAGGATGAGTACAACCCCAAGAACACCATCCCAACCGTGAAGCATGGAGGTGGAAACATCATTCTTTGGGGATGCTTTTCTGCAAAGGGGACAGGACGACTGCACCGTATTGAGGGGAGGATGGATGGGGCCATGTATCGCGAGATCTTGGCCAACAACCTCCTTCCCTCAGTAAGAGCATTGAAGATGGGTCGTGGCTGGGTCTTCCAGCATGACAACGACCCGAAACACACAGCCAGGGCAACTAAGGAGTGTCTCCGTAAGAAGCATCTAAAGGTCCTGGAGTGGCCTAGCCAGTCTCCAGACCTGAACCCAATAGAAAGGGAGCTGAAAGTCCGTATTGCCCAGCGACAGACCCGAAACCTGAAGGATCTGGAGAAAGTCTGTATGGAGGAGTGGGCCAAAATCCCTGCTGCAGTGTGTGCAAACCTGGTCAAGACCTACAGGAAACGTATGATCTCTGTAATTGCAAACAAAGGTTTCTGTACCAAATATTAAGTTCTGCTTTTCTGATGTATCAAATACTTATGTCATGCAATAAAATGCAAATGAATTACTTAAAAATCATACAATGTGATTTTCTGGATTTTTAGATTCCGTCTCTCACAGTTGAAGTGTACCTATGATAAAAATGACAGACCTCTACATGCTTTGTAAGTAGGAAAACCTGCAAAATCGGCAGTGTATCAAATAATTGTTCTCCCCACTGTAAATGCTTGAAAGCATAGTGATAACACATTGTAAATTCAACTAACTTTGGGCTGTGTTTTTGAGTAGGTGAATATAGGTTGTAATCTCATTGATCAACGTCGCAACCAAATATTACCCAATTATCCACGTAGAAATGATGTGGTGTGCCCAGTGGGAATAATCTCTGTTCCTGTCGCTATCTCTGGCTCTGTCCATGTGGTGTTCTCTGCTGTGCTGTGTGACAGTCGACGCCCGGCATCAGCCACAGCCTCTGGGTCTCTCTCTGTGGCCTCTCTGAGTGTACAGGAAGCGATTAACAACGAGGGGATATCCTGGACAATCGCAGCCTGGCTGGCCCTACCGTGTGGGAAGAGAGGGAGGAGGGGGAGAGAGGGAGGGGAGGAGAGAGGAGGACAGAGAGAGAGAGGGGAAACAGAGGGTAGTGTGGGAGGCAGTGTGGGAAGAGAGAGCAGAGGGAAAGATAGAGAGGGAGAGACGAGAGGGAGAGAGTGTGGGAGAGAGGGGAGAGGTAGGAGAGAAAGCGCACAGTGCTGCTTTGTCCCAGAGCCATGATTACAGCCCACTCTCCTCCCGGTGTTCTTGACTCCCACGCTCCCTCAAGTTACTGCTGCTGGGCTGCCTGTCAGAGGAATGATAAAACAGAGCCTCCTCCTCCTCCTCCTCCTCCTCTTCCTCCTCCGCCTTGCATCAACGCTCTGCCAAATGATCCTCCTCCATCTCTCCCAGCCTCCTATCCATCCATCTTTCATTCAGTCTGCCTCCGTCATCCTCCTCCTCCGCCTTGCATCGACGCTCTGCCAAATGATTCTCCTCTATCTCTCACACCCTTTTATCTCACTCTGTCTCCATCCATCCTCATTATAGTTCTTCCTGTATTTCGTTTGCCAGACTTGTAAGGGGATTCTCACCAGTAACTATGGGGGAAGAGTCTACACTACAGTCTAGTGTTTTCTTATGTAAGCCCTCGAAGCAATGCTGTACTTCATTGTAAGGGGTCAAGTTGTTACAGCACTGCCAACTGCGATCTTTTGTCACCACCTGCTGGTCATATGTGATTCTACAACTGTGGAAGATCACCTACTCTCCTTTGCCTCTTCCATATTTGTTTTATTTCTCAAAGCTAATTCAGAGACAGAAATAAACATAGATACATTATAAGATAATACAGATATATATACATGTGGCAAAGACTATGCTCTAATTTTTTTCATAGGCCCTTTGAGTTTTTTGGGGTCTTATTCAAAGGCAATACAACAAACAAGAATAAGGACAAACAAAGCCAATATCATTCACAGAACCCCAAACCTTTATTTACCACAGCTTGCTCACAAAGATATATGTGGAGGGGGAAAACACACAAACAGGAAGAGAGAGAGACAGCCAGATTCATCACCACAGACAGGACGCTGTAATGTCACAGACAGGACGCTCTGTGATGTATGTCACAGACAGGACGCTATGATGTCACAGATAGGACGCTGTGATGTCACAGACAGAACGCTGTGATGTCACAAACAGGACGCTGTGATGTCACAGACAGGACGCTGTGATGTATGTCACAGACAGGACGCTGTGATGTCATAAGTATGTGATGGACGGTTGGATATACAGCTCCAACATCCTGGCTGTGCTCCGTATAATTAGGCTCTATACTAGAGAAACAGCAAGCACCCACGCAGGATCCACCCACCCCTACTGAAACATACACACTCTCTCACGCACACACACATATCTGCCCTGTATATACTTGCATGCACCCTTTGCAGATGGCCATTGTCTTCCATTGTCATGTCAAGATCTTCTAGCTGTTATTTTAAGTCTATGTGTTGGTTGTTTTCCTATGGCTTACATGTTGTCTACTTCTGCTGTTTATGACCTGCTTCTCCTGTGCCATAGTCTGATCTACCCAGTTAAGTGCTGTTTAAATTCTGAGAAGAATGTACAATGATTGATTCTCAATAGTGACAGAGTCAAACTATGATTCTCCATGGAGAGTGAAACCTCAGTAGTAGCATTTGGCATTGGTTCCTCTCTGGCACAACATGAAAGAAATGAGAGGGCCTATAAGCCGATATATGAGCTTGTAGCATTCTAGGCACGATTACATTATCTACACGTCTAAGACGGCACATACAGTACATGCTGAGAGAGTGATTGACAGATGACCCAGGGGGTCTTGGGAACCAGGAAGGACCATAACACCCCTCTGTGATATCACGGTATGAACCAAGAATGTCATGTGACCTCTGCGATGCCCAACTGACAGAATTTAGCAAGCTCCTCTTAAACGACATGTCATGTTTGCCAAATTCGTCAGTGTGTGTATGTGTGTGGGTGTGAGAGTATGTGCGCTTGCATGTGTGTGAATGAACTACTCTATGTAAGAGAGTGGGAGATCAGACAGACAGACAGACAGACAGGAGAGAATCGGCTCATAAAAGCTATAGTAGTCTCCTGAAGTCTAGCTAATCTCTCTCCCAGGAGTCAATGTGCAGCTTTCATTCTCATCATCCCCACACTGACTGATACAGAAACAGACATGGTCAGAAAATAACCACCGCAAACGCACGTCAGCTAGCTGGCAAATTCACAACAACACAGAAGCCTTATAGTACGAGAGAAACTGCAAACGATTTTTGTTCCAAAAAAAACAACAATACATCCATAGATAGAGAAAATGCTAAAATGGCACACTGCAATACTTCTGCTGTCCTATCATACTGTATATAACAAAAAAAGAAGTATTTACAAAACAACAATACCCACTTTCACTTGGTTGGTTTTTCATCTTCTCTTTTTTCAGCATTTGAAATCGAGCAAAAACATTATTTTATAGGGAGGAGTGGGCGACATTTTCATAATTTTTTTTGCAATTCCCCCCCATTTGCTAATGCTGTTGGTGTGGGGTGCCGGTGGGTCCTCCTCCTCACTCTGGGAGGGGGGTCGGGGGGGGGGGGTCTTCTGACGCTGGGGTGCTGTAGTAGTGGTGGTGTCAGGGTGGTCCCTTTGGAGGGGGCAGGGAGGAGTACGGGGTACAGGAGGGTGGCTGTAGGGGGGTACGATGGTTGGTGGCGCCCCTCGCCTGCTCACGCTGTTAGCTCTTCCCTCAGCTCTTTGTTCCTGCGCACCACCTGGGCATGCCTCTCCTGAGGACAACACAGAGAGAGATGCTGCCATGTTGGAAACCTCTCAATACTGACCCTGCCCTGAGACTCTCAATTTACGTTCAACTACAATGGCCAGTGTTTCATCCTTGAATGATGCCAGCAGCCCCTACCAAAAAATATCAAAGCCTTCTATCTTGCCCAACCCCTTGTCCACTCCCCTAGTCTTGCTGTCTCCACCTACCATCTTTCCCACCAAACTCTCCTCTCACCTTCTCCTGCAGGCGCTCCATGATGGAGGCCAGGTAGGCCTGGCGGTTCTCCTTGATCTGCTCCATCTTCATGGTCAGCTTCTCCTCTGCCATCTTGCTGAAATTGCTGTTCTCCTCCATGGCCTTCATCACCACGTCCCTCTCGTGCTCCCGCTTCTCCGCCAGGGCCCTGAGAACCTGGGCCTCCTGGGACTGAAGAGGTGATAGAATAGAAAAAAGTAAAATAGAACAGAATAGAACAGAATAGAATAGAATAGAATAGAACAGAATAGAACAGAATAGAACAGAATAGAACAGAACAGAATAGAACAGAACAGAACAGAATAGAACAAGAACAGAATAGAACAGAACAGAATAGAATAGAACAGAACAGAACAGAACAGAATAGAACAGAACAGAACAGAACAGAACAGAATAGAACAGAATAGAACAGAACAGAACAGAACAGAACAGAAAAGAATAAAACAGAACAGAATAGAGCAGAATCGAACAGAACAGAATAGAATAGAAGAAAATAGAACACAGCAGAACATAATAGAACAGAATAGAACAGAATAGAACAGAACATAATAGAACAGAATAGAACAGAATAGAACAGAACATAATAGAACAGAATAGAACAGAATAGAACAGAATAGAACAGAACAGAATAGAACAACAGAACAGAATATAACAGAATATAATAGAACATAATATAATAGAACAGAACAGAACAGAATAGAACAGAACAGAACAGAACAGAATAGAACAGAACAGAACAGAACAGAACAGAACAGAATAGAACAGAACAGAACAGAACAGAATAGAACAGAATAGAATAGAACAGAACAGAACAGAACAGAACAGAATAGAACAGAATAGAATAGAACAGAACAGAACAGAACAGAATAGAATAGAACAGAATAGAGTAGAATGCAGGTGGGGGCCAAGGTAGGAAGGAGAGGGTAAGAATTAGCTTTAGTGTCATTCCTTTGCCTGATGAATATGATCATTGCTTAGTTAGTAAAGTACAGCAGTCAAAGTCCAAGCCAAGCCAAGGTATAGGCTAAGAAGGATAGGACAAAGTGTAATATGCTAGCGTGATTCAGTGTGATTCAGTGATTGAATTAAGTTGTCGGCTTATGCTAAGGGAAACTGTTAGATGGTGACTCACTCTCCTCCGGTCCTCAGCGGCCTCCAGCTTCTTCTGGATGTCCTCCAAAGAGACATCCTTCTTGGGAGGCGAGGTGACGCAGTGGGCCGTGTCCGACACCGGAGAGAGGGGCTTCAGGATCACCTCGAAGGCCTGACCAGAGGCACGCTTGTTGATGGGCTTCACCTCCATGCCTGCTACTAGAAGGGGGGGGGGGGGGAGACAGGCGGAGGAAAACCACAAAGGGAAACTCTAAATCCTGCCTTTGTAGTGATAATATTACTCCAAATCAAACTTTCACTTTTTAAAAAGATTGCCTCTTGGTTGCCTTTACTGTAAGGTGAAAGTGATTTGAAACATTTAAAAAGTCAGTTGACCTTTCTTCTTACCTTGGAACTCTCCCACCAGGTTCTTGCGTGTCTCTGGGTACAGGCAGGAGCAGAGGAGAGACAGGACAGACATCTCCTTCATCTTCTCTTTGTACGCTGTGGGGAACACACACAAACACAGACAGACACATGCGCACGCGCACACACCGTTAATCTACTTTCTCCTCCTCATAAATTATCATCTCACATGGCATCGCCATCGTTAGATGTTTAGGAAAATAAATATTCAGCAAATCCATAAAAAGAAAAGAACGCATGATCATCAAAGGCGGTCTAGTCTGGTGAAGGAATCAGCTTGAGGTTTCTAATCCCCATTTTGTGGGGCTTTGTTTGTTTGTGCAGACTGAAGGGAAGTGGATTGGCTGTGTGTGTGTGTGTGTGTGTGTGTGTGTGTGTGTGTGTGTGTGTGTGTGTGTGTGTGTGTGTGTGTGTGTGTGTGTGTGTGTGTGTGTGTGTGTGTGTGTGTGTGTGTGTGTGTGTGTGTGTGAGTGTGTGCTGTGTCCTCCTATGCTCTGATCTCCACAGCGGTCGACCAACCTCCCCATAGGTTTCATTCTCCACAGTGGTCGACCAACCTCCCAACAGGTTTCATTCTCCACAGTGGTCGACCAACCTCCCAACAGGTTTAATTCTCCACAGTGGTCGACCAACCTCCCAACAGGTTTCATTCTCCACAGCGGTCAACCAACCTCCCCACAGGTTTCATTCTCCACAGCGGTCGACCAACCTCCCCATAGGTTTCATTCTCCACAGTGGTCGACCAACCTCCCCACAGGTTTCATTCTCCAAAGCGGTCGACCAACCTCCCCACAGGTATCATTCTCCACAGTGGTCGACCAACCTCCCAACAGGTTTCATTCTCCACAGCGGTCAACCACCTCCCCACAGGATTCATTCTCCACAGCGGTCAACCAACCTCCCCACAGGTTTCATTCTCCACAGCGGTCGACCAACCTCCCCATAGGTTTCATTCTCCACAGCGGTCAACCAACCTCCCCACAGGTTTCATTCTCCACAGCGGTCGACCAACCTCCCCACAGGTTTCATTCTCCAAAGCGGTCGACCAACCTCCCCACAGGTATCATTCTCCACAGCGGTCGACTACCTCCCCACAGGTTTCATTCTCCACAGCGGTCGACTACCTCCCCACAGGATTCATTCTCCACAGCGGTCAACCACCTCCCCACAGGATTCATTCTCCACAGCGGTCAACCACCTCCCCACAGGATTCATTCTCCACAGCGGTCAACCACCTCCCCACAGGATTCATTCTCCACAGCGGTCAACCACCTCCCCACAGGATTAATTAATCATCAGCTATGCATTTCATTTCAGCCTATTATATATTCACTTAGCTAGCAGAGTCTGTAGCTAGCACTGGTAACATCCAACAGCCATTTAACAGCAGGGATAGCACCTAGAGGCAGACTGATTATGGCTGATGTTCCTGAAAGCTACTTGCCTGTTCTGGAATCCAAACTGAATTGTTCTGCCATCATGACTTTCAAGTGAATCAATAGTGATTCCAGGCTAGAATGCTACAGAGCTGTACTTGGCACCCAACGTGGGATGAGAACCTACTGCAGCATCCCCATGAGGCAGCCAGTAGAAAGAAGACATCTACTCCATCACATTGGACTGCAACAGACAGTCTGGCTATGTCCTCTACTTCTCCTGGCTGCTGTTTAAAGTGTACAGTACAGTGTGTCTGAAGGCACAGTGTTACCGTCGGTGCAACTCGACGTGCCAAGTAGCACCCAGCCTCTATGATCCATCATCCATCACACGCTGTGGGCTGCAGGGCTGAAATGTGCTACATTGACCCCTGACTGATGTCCCTGGCTGGGAGTCAACACTGAGCAAATTAAGGCTCTATGATTTACAGTTAGACATGGAGGAGAGAAGTGTAGCTAGTGCCTACAGACGATCTGCTGTTGCACACCCAGCCAAATCATCTCCCTGTCTTTCTGTCTGTTCGAATGAAGTGTAGCTAGCACCCACAGCAGTGGTGCTGCACACCCAGACAACCCCTGTCCTCTCCCGGTCTCTGTTTGTCTGCCACAACAGGCAGCTCTCAGCCTAGCAGACGTCACAGGTAATCAGATAAACTCTCACATGTAGCATTAGCTCTCTGACTCTCCGATGGGCTTGTTAACCCCTCCCAGAAGAGAGGGAAGAGAAGAGAAGAGAAGAGGAGAGGAGAGGAGGATAAGGAGAGGAGAGAACA